GGCGGTACTCACAGGCAGGTGGCCGGCCTGGGGCATGGGAAGGGGCCTCTACCTACACTCCACCTCACACTCCTTTCCCAGGTTTAGTAAGGCTGGGTGGAAACTTTCTAGGGCATTCCTCCAGGCCTGAAAGTCTCAGACCCTCAGATTCCACAGACTCTGCCCTAGGGCAAGCTGCTCCCCTAGAGTGGAGATAGCTGAGGAGGAGATAGCCGAGTGCCAGAGACGCCTGAGGAAAGGAGGGAGTTATTTATTTATTTATTGGTGGTCGATATCAATTTTCCGTCGATTTCGGCTTTTTGTTTAGTAAGGCTTCTTTTTTCCCTTCCAGGCTGCCAGTTGGATGGTATACGAGAAACAGTACCATTCTTCCTGTTAATGAACCCTTTTTTAAGTCATTTTTTCTCATTTGACCCTTCCATGGAGCAGAAGCAAATTGCGTGAAATTACCTCCAAGGATTACATTTATTACTGGCCAATGAGAACCCCTCGCCTTGTTTTACAAACTCTTAATCCTATGTCATTCTGATGCCGAAAACAAGCTGGGTCCTGGGCCTCCTATTCTTTCAACTTTCCCCAGCTGGAGGGACCTCATTCTGCACTTAATATTCCCCATAAATATCACACGCTAAAGACCCCCTGACTTCCAGCAAGTCCACATTAAACATGTGACATGTCACGCATGACAAACTCTGAGTATCTTTTCAAAGCAGCATTAAAAGCAAAGAAACCAATTTTCTTCTCCTTCCAAACCTCCCCAAGTGCTGAATGATGGGGATTGGAAAGAGCCACTGGAGCGTACTTAGGGGGATTTTATGAGATTTTCCAGAATGATTTAATCTTATTGTGAGCATTATTAATGAATGGCAACCCAATTTGGCCCCAATATCTGGGAACTCAGTCACAATGCTGGGAGCGGCTGACCCCACCCCCAACCTTAAGCAAACCTCTTCCACCATGGAGGAGGACATGTGGAGCCCTGGGGTGTCCAGGAGAGTCCAGTTCATGGCATGACTGTCTCCTATCATGCCCAGGGCAGAATGGCCCAACACCTGCTTTCCCATTGCCACCCCCACAGTATTTTGGGGGGAAGGGTGATTGGAAGCCCTATTGGGGCCTCTGTGGGAAGGTTGAGGAAAAAGGGTAAGTTAATTTGCTACATTTTCACACAGGTTACCCAGATCGGGAGGAGGCATTTGGCATATTAGCAAAGGTGTTCTTCAGTCACCCATGGTCTAGGCTGTGGGCAGTGGTGAGGGCAGACATCTTAAGTGTGTGGTGAGGAAGTTAGCAAGAGGATGAATTAGGATGAGTGATTATTGAAGGGAAACTCAGTCTTAACCTAATGTTACTGGGATTGGGCCCTAATCAATTCCCCTTTCTTGTTACTGCCCCTCCTGATTGGGGCAAACATTCATTATTGTTGCATTTGATTTATAATACCAAGAGTCAAAGCACCTGTAGTTCTCTGTTTAGTATGGTTTTGAGTGTGGAGATCTTTCTAGGATAGAAAAAAAGGGCTGATGTTGGAGGAGAGGAAATTATACATGGGTTAGCCTAACTTGCTTTTAGAGGAAAAAAATGTATATGAGCATGTGTGTATGTGTATACACAAAAGTGAGTGTGTCTGAATGAAGGGGGTCTTAAATGGAGCCTAAAATGGTATTTTGGAACACAGAGTTCCCCAGAGCAACTGCATATTTAACTGACAGTGGCAGCCTGGCTGGGGGGGCGGGGAAAAGAAAACCCACTACCTGACAGGGGGGAAAAAGCATTTTTCAAAGGAAAAAGTCGTGTTGTCCCTGGACGTTATTAACGGTCCAGTTTGAAGTATACATTTTTTTTTTCCTTTAAAGAAAAGGGAGCGATTACCAGTTATACATTAAGAAATGTCATTCAGTCATTTTTATTCATTCTCCGGAAATCTTCGTAAAAGCCTGAATCATACTTCTACAAGCAGCAATTTTGTTAATCCAGGGGGTTATTACTCTGGGCCCTTATTAGGTTCTACACCACTGCCAAGCAATCCTATAACCCTCTCAAAAGAAGTTTACCTCCCTGTTATAAAACCAGTAGTGGTATTTATACTGTGCAATAATTAGTGTATTACTTGAATCCACTAACACGTTCATTTTATCTCTGCACAAAACCTCTAGTCTGCTTATAGAAAGCTTGTGCCTCCTTTGGTGCTGTTAAAGTGGTGAAAGAGTGAATTGAAGGCTGGTTGCACTTTCTCCTTTTGCCTCGCCTTAATTCCCATCTCTTTTTGCTCTCATCCAATTAGCACAGTGTATTAAGCGGTTTATCATCTCATAGTCAGCTATTGAGAGAAACAAGGCGAGCACTTTGCAATAGAACCTGCGCTCCTTTGACACCCTCAGGTACTTACATATTCCACTGCGCTATGAATAATAGAGGAAGAATGGAGCGCTAATTCCCTCATCAAAGAATGCCTTGTCTGCTGCTTTGCTCAACAACACCATTCTGATCAAAAGAAAAGCAATAAAGCTTAGCATAACAAAACGAAACCTACTTATTAGCTTAGTGGTTAAATTAATGCAGAGCCGCTGCTATTCAAAACCAAGGTTTGAAAACAGCCTCCAACAACCTGATAATGCTGCCTTCGGGATGAAGGAATTTTAATCTGAAATTTGAGGCTGGCTCAGATGAGTTAATCTATTAAACTGCTATAAGGAAGCTCTACCACAAACCGTTCAATTAAGAAATATTTAGGTGAGGGGAGAGAAAGAGAGACAGACAGACAGACATGAGGGAAAGGGAGAGGGAGAGAGAAAAGAGAGGAAAATGCAGCTTCAAATTTGGAATGGCAGCATCAAATAGCATGGAATTGAGGGGCCGAGGATCCTGACAAGAGGCTCTGAGGCTTAATGTTTTTCATAAAACCGACAAAGATAGGGAAATCTGTTTTTGGAGTTTTCTTGTTTTTGCATCTTCTGCCAAACTCACTTTCAATGATGTTTGAAAAAGTGTATCTCAAGGTGTGTGTGTGTGTGTGTGTGTATGTGTGTGTTGGCTTTAAGAGGTGGCAAGGGTTGGAGAAAGGGGTGGTGGTGAAGGAGAGTGAATTCATTCCCTTTCAGCATCTGAACTCCAATCTGCAAACTTTGATTAGCCCCCACATCCTGTGCAAGCCATAAAATTAACTCCATCTATTTTTCAGGCAAATTAAAATTTTACAGGATTTTCAACTTCTGGCCTCTTCTATCTACCTTCATGTGAAGGAGAGTTGAGAGTTAGTAAACCGCGCCCAAGACAAGCTGATTGCACATCCTTGCAAGAATCTGTTGTAGGTTAGATCCTAGTTCCTAAATTAAATTAAATAGAACAGGTGTCCTTTTCAGGGGCATGGGGCTCTAAGCACAGCAGGGTCCTAAAGAGTACCATTTCCCAACTGGCTCAGATAGATTTTAACCCAGAGGTCGAGTCTGGCCCACACAACGTTTCAAATTTTGTTCTAAAATATCAGTTGCGAAGGTTTAGGAATAAAGAAACTTTATGGAATATTCAGGTTCTTGGCTTCTCTTAAAAACTGCACCACGTGGCTGCTCTGGGTCCTGTCCCTCTTCGTATTACTGCTGCCCCTTTTAGACAGTCCATACCCCTGGGTAGCATGAATCTAGCTTATTCCATTCATTCTCTTTTAGCATTTAAGACCTATGCCAGAGAGCCCCATAGAGAAAGATGGGTAGGCAGCTTTCTCCCCTTAAAAGAAGTGGGCAGCATATCTGCATACCTAGTATGCTATCCATCAAGGCAAAGGAAGGAGTAGTGACCTTTCTCAGAGAAAAGCGAGTAGGTGATATTCCAGTCTTCCAACAGAGATCCATTGTAATTCTTCAAGTTGCAGTTTCCATAAAATTCTGGAATCCTGAGGTACCTCTTTTTGGTGACTGTACTTAGAAATGTCTGATTTTCTATAGATCTTCTATATAAGTGGTCCCTGCCCTCATAGTGATTACAATCTAGAGGCAGTGACAAGAAATAAACTAGTGAGGCATTATTTAAGTTTTTTGGAGTTAAAAGACCAAGTTCAGGATAATTCTTATAATCAATATAATCCCAGGACTCAGAAATTAAGGAAAATATGCCTTCTCTTTAGAAAGCGAGTGGGGGAGTGGCTCTAGAAGCACCCACTGGAGAACTATCTCTATAAACTTATATAATAGCAATTATCAGAATTGACCAAAGGAGCAATAAAATCACATCAATCCCTTAGTTTCCTCCAACTTGTAACTGACTGCAGAGCTTTTAGTACCAATTAATTAATCAACAGGAACCTAATCCCAAAGTATTTCTACTTTGAACTTGAGTGTAAGAGCAAGAGGACAGGAGATACATAAGAGACTGAAGGGAGAAGGGAGGAAGCAAAAAGAGAAGGCAAAGCCAGATTGAAAGGTGGCTTCATCTCCACTACTTAATAAGTATTCCTTCCCTAGGGGACCTTTATGTTTGGTGCCTTTCTCCCAGGGAGAAAACAAATGAGCTTTGTATTTCAAGAGACACCACGGAGCTCTTAGCTTAGCTCCCTTTGGTTGTACAAGTCCACAAAGTCACATTAGAAACCATACCTTAGGTCTGTCTCTCTTTGGTGCTGGGGATCAAACCAGGGCCTTGTGCGTGCTAAGCACTGCTCTACCCTGAGCTATTATAACACCAGGCCCCATACTTCACCTTTTTTTTTTCTTGGTGCTGGGGATGGAACCTACATGCTAGGTAAGCACTCTACCACTGAGCTACTCCCAGAGCTTGCATCTTATCTCTTAAAGGATCCAAAGTCCACAGAAATTCTCCTGAATTCTAAAATTCAGAACATTCAAAGGCCTTGCCATTTGCAATAATTTATGAGCTGGGTTCTAATCTCAGTTGCAATGAAAAAAAGTGGGTTGAGGTTTGGGAAGGGGATAGCCTTCAGTCAAACAGTATTCCTTGCTGTCCCTGTAGTCAATTGTTTGTGCCCAATAAGAATTCATTGCAACTGCTTTCCCTTTAGAAAAACTTTATTCTTAAGTATAAAGCACAGCATACTCTCCTTTATAAAAACACATAGGTAAACATTTTTAAAACACAGCATAGTTATACAAGGGGAAATATATTTTGTTAGTACAATCTTACCAATAATGTAAGAAAGATTGACATATTGAAATACTTTTTGCTGCAGCAAAGCAGGCACCATTCTGAAGAAAATGAGGAAAAATAGCAAGCACCAGGGCCAATTAACCATTCTCCCACTTTGCCAAATGCAACACATTGATCCTCATCCCAAATGCTACACTTTCTTTTAGCACTGCTAAAGACAGAACTCAGGTCTCATGCATGTTAGGCAAGTGCACTCTACCACTGGGCTACATCCCCAGCCCTTTGATGTCCTATATTATTTTAAATGTGCTTTCCTGTTGTATAAACTTTTACCTAAACTTTCTATTTAAGTGTGGGTGTGTGTAAATGTAAAACACCTGTTCAGATTGTGTGTGTGTGTGTGTTGGATTTTGGAGCAATTCAATAGAGTCCATTCTGTTTATTTTTGAGTGCAAGGATTCTATATCTCCCCTGCCATCCACTACCTATCTGAAAGACGTGACTAAAAAAGACAGCCACTTCTATAGCAAGTGGCTAAGGAATCATCTGGATTTAGACTGTGTTTAATTGGCATGTGAAAAGGCAAAATGTTACTACTGCTCCTGCTGGGCTGCAGAATCCTCTCTTTGGGGGAACACCTCTACTACAGCCCTGGGGCAAAGTCCAGGGTCACTTACATCTCAGCCACTTTCAATTAAAATAGCAATTTCCCTCTCCTAGAAACCCAGTTCCCAATATGCTAGGTCTTTAGGGACATGGGGAAGAGCTCAGTGGTATACCATAACATGAAGACTGGATCTTCTTTGATGCATGACAGATGAAATATTTTTGTAATCCCTCCTCCTAGTTCACATCCCACGTGAACATGAGATGCAGTCCTTAAAGGAAAAGCAAGATACTGGAGAAGCAGTTAGGGCCAGAGTAGAGGTGCTCAGGAAGCTGGGATTTGCAACTAGCCCTCCTCATTCGCTTGTGGATTTCCTTAGGACTTCACAGCACAATCGGCGAAGAGTTTGCTGAGGTTCACTTCAGAGTAGCCACTCCAGGACAAGAACTGCTCGGCTGTGTTCTTGAGTTTTCTGTAGTCCTGAAGAACTTTGGGTGTAAAAAACTGCTTCTTCAATTTTTCTAAAGTGAAATAAAAATAAAAGCATTAGAAGTCTTTTCTTCTATGTATGTATAATAGTCAAAATACATTCTACTGTCATGTATAACTAAAAAGAACAAATAAAAAAATTTTAAGTTTCTTCTTTACAGACCATTTGATAGTTCTCAGGCACTAGAAAAGGGAGTGTAGATTGGGTCTGCAACTCTATGTTTCTGAGTTCCTCATAATCTTCAGGGTATTCCTGGAGCCAGTCCAATGTTGGGGTGCCCAAGATTCCTCTGTTAAAGCTTGACTTCCTTTTGCCTGCTGGCCTATCACTTCTCAACACAAAGCTGACTCAGTACCTGGGCTGGGGCCACCTTTTACTGATGTGAATCGCAGGTGCACACCCACGTGCAGCAGACAAGGTAAGCTCCACTTTCACAGACATGCAATTGCATGTGAAGTTTGCATGTGGCTAGAAGTACCTGGTCTCAAAGGAAAGAAGCTATGATTCCTTGTGCCTCCCAACCCATGCTCCCCAGATCACTGGGCCTAGTCAGTTTCTCCTAGTCCCTTCAGTCTTCATCTCTCTGCTAAGGGGGACTGCCTGGAGAGTACTACTTGTCTATTGCCAAGATTTCTTTTTTGCCAATACTGTGTGAACTCACTGTGTATAGTGCCCTGGCCTCTGGAACCTGTTACTTCACCCATTCATCCCTGGCTTTCCTGTTCTGAGAAAACAGAAAAACAGCTAGAGACAAGATCCTTCCTTTGCCTCCCCAGAGACTGCTACACACAGGTCTGATCTTTTTGGGGATCTAACCCTGCCCAGAATGGTTAAGATGATGCAGTCTTTGTTCAAAGCTGCTCAGGAACCCCATGAGGCATTCTGAGAAGTTGACTCTTTTTTTTTTTAAAATCCCCATTTTATGGCCTAGGAATCTGGAAGGTTAAGTCACTTGCCCAAGGTCACACAAGATGCAATCAGGGATATAGATATATAACCCCAGCTAGCCAGAACCCCCAGTCCATACTTGGAGTTGAGTTTCACTTCTGACCACTTGCCCCCAATCCAATGCTCCTGAATAGAGAAAGGTAGGCCCCAGAAATCAGCTGTTCTGGAAGTGAGGGCCCTGGACACTGTGCCAAGGTGCCTGAGGGTGGGGGTGGGGGAAGTGGCCCAGCACCTTGGAATAGGAAAGGACTGGGAAGGAAACACAGAAGGGACAGGATGTCAATCACAGAAAGCAAAACCCCACTGAAGTCCACAAAACCCCGGAAAATGAAAACTCGGTTTCAAGATTTTTGTTCCTTAGTTATACATTCACATTTGTTCTCCACAACCTTTTCTAAATTACATCAATGCCTTTCCAAAAACAACAACAAAAAGTTTTGTAGAGGATTTAAATGCCCAAAGGAGGTGGAAAAAGAGAGGAAGGAGAGAGAGAGAGAGAGAGAGAGAGAGAGAGAGAGAGAGAGAGAGAGAGAGAGAGAGAGAGAGAGAGAGATATGCATCATTAAGGGACTATAGAAAGACAATTTGAAAGTTCTAATTATCGGAGTCTGAGAATACACAACAAAGGCCCCAAGGCTGCCTCCCGGCAGGCCAGAGCTGCAGGCTGGCAACCCTGTGCATGTGAATGACACAAATGCATCTGATGACTGGGGAGAGCACATTTAAAGAGCTGCGGTAATAAGGAGCAGGGGAGGAAGAGAGGGGACACAGCTCCTGATGTGTTTACCTCCTCTGCTGATGGGATATTGACTTTTCCCACCAGGTTGGTTAGAAAGGGGACTATTTACGCTGCCACACAGCAGAGCTAGAATGACAACCAGCGTCACTCGGTGCTCTTCTTCGTAAAAGACAACTGTGACCACTAGCATATCCTATAGCCGGTCAATACAGCTCAGGCACCATTCCACGCTGGTGAGAGATGCAGATAAAAGCTCCCACTTGCTTCCCCAATGAGAATGTAATCAATAATGTATGGAAGGTCTTCTAGGAAACAGAACTGGATGAGCTGTCACAGGCCACATCACGGGCAGAGGCTGGGAGGGCAAGAAGTCATCCCTTCTCGTGGTTTTCCTCTTCCCTCTTTAGGCACCTGGGCCACCCACGTTAGGCGTCACATTAAACTGTTACCCTGTTTCCATCAATACTACACCCACCACTTTAGGACTCAAGAGAAAATACAGATGTTAAATGGTGAAAGCCAGTTAACATGGCCAGTAAAACTCTGACTCTCTCCCTTGCTCTGATTTTTGGAGGCAGCCTACCGTAAAGATGCCACCCCCACAGGAGCTGCAGTTCAGCACCCGAGGACAACACTTTAAGATTCCAATAGGCCATGAGGCAAGAGGCAGAGAAGATCTGCAGCCATCCCACCGGGGGCCACAGAGATACCACTGGCTGTGTCTGTTGCTGGCTCGACCACTAGCACTGAAAATCCAAACTTCGAAGGAAGACAAGGAAATGCTCTTCCCACACACAAACACACCAGTGAAATATACCCTAGTGACTTGAACTATCACATGGAAATCACTCATCTTAATATACCATCAAAGCTCATCTCCTTTTCTTATTCTTTACTGTAAATAACCTTTGAGGATCGTGTATCTAATGTTTACTTACTCTGCTCCTTTCTACATGCTCAGCTTCCTTATGGTTACATAGTAATTATCAAAAATATTCTGTCCCTAAACCCCATGAAAACAATGACAAAAAGGTAGTCTAGATAATAATCATTACAAAATATTTTATCAGACAACAAAATGAACAGCTAATTTCAAAGTTATGTTTTACCAATCAGAATCCCAAACCTCAAAATCATGCAAGTTGACTTATTTAAAAGTCATCTGATCGAACAAAATGCTATTTGTAAAAAATGGAGTATTCTCTCAGCTAAGGAAACTATCTCTACTTCACATATTTTAGTTTCATGTCAGTAAACCAAAGATTCCTTTTAAGCTTTACTCTTTATATAAAACTCATTTTGGACTTAAAGAAACACACTGAACTAGAAACCATGAGACAAAGATATTTTAACATCGCCTACTGGTTATTTTATTTTAATTAAGGCAGGCTTAGGCACACAGGCAGCAGCCGTCTCTGTTCTAAATGTCTGTTTCATTTATTTCCGTGCAAAGGTATCAAACAACAGTCAGTTATAATTGATTCTGTCAGGTGTTATACAGTCAGTCATAATTGTCTCTGTGTAGAGGTGTGTCAATTTACTATATCTGAATTAAATATTCTGTCAATTATGAAATCAGGTAATAATTTCAGTCAGTTTTTTAATTGCATGGCTTCCCACCATACAGTTCTCAGCTCTCCCACCTTTTCTAATCCATAGCCTCCCTCCCTCAGTGCTACATGAGCTTTGTCGTCAGGGGTAGAATGCAGGAGGCTTTGGGAATTTTGAGAGAAAACTGCACCCCTCTTCACTTTCTATGATTTAGAGCCATCAGAACTATAGGGAGCTGTTGGGGCCTCTGGCCTGGCTGCTTTTTCCCTGAATATCAATCTATAATGGAGTCTCGGGCCAGGAGAGGTATCTACAAGATCTCAAATGACACCCATATTTCAAAGACAAAGGCATTTTGGGCTCCAAATCAAATGACAAGTATGTAAACATATCTAAATCAAAACAAGAAATAAAAAAAAATCAACATCTTTGAGTCCATTCTTATTTAGAAAAACAATTCACAAGGCACGGTGCCAGGCACACACAGTGAACAATGTGTTTATCGACTAGCCAATGCCTAGAGGACCATTCTGGCCCATTAAATCATGTCTTACACACTAAAATATTT